GACAACCTCTCGTCAATATGCGTTTTTCGCATTGCATTGCTGCAAAAAACGCATAAAAATGGAAGGGAGATGTTGTGTGCTTGCCTGAACTTTATTATCCGGCTCCAATCGGCTGTTCTTACTTCGCGAAGCCAGGATCGAGAGATTATCCAGTGTTAGCAGAAGGGCATCGTGAGCCGTGGAACGCTGAAATTATTTGCTCCGTCTTTCATAAATGATAATAAGTTGAAATTATGATTCATTCAATTAATCTTAATTAAAAAAGTATCGCTAGTGAATGACTACTGTTTGTACTATCAAGCTATTTCACTTGCCTTCGTCTTCCTTAATCTTAATTAAAGTATTGCTAATCTTAATTATGTTCATTTAACTAGTCTTAAAGTATTGCAAGGGGTACATAAAATCGCCAATTCACCGAAGAATAGCAATTCAAACTGGGGAATGGCAGAACTGGATGCTTCTTCGCAACTACATAAAGAAATAGTCCATCCGAACCCATCTTCTCTTAAAAAAAGCGGCATTTTTCGTTGTCATACAATGTCACCTTCTAATTTTTTTGTTCCCGGCTAATTTATTGCATAATTTAAAATAGGTGGATCACAAATTTGTTATCCAACACTGTCTGGAATTCTGCAACTTCCTTTTGCTCATTCTCACACTTCAACAATCGGAATATGTCCAAAATTCCTTTTCGCTTCAGATAATTTCAGCTGTTATTGGCCAAAATGCACATACACCTATCTTATTTGGCGCGCTAGTGAAATCACTTGAGGTTTCAGTTTTGAATCTTGCTAACTGCAGCCACTTTTGTAGGAGGAGATTTTTTTTCTTTCCTTTCCAAAATATTACAAGTTTTTGAAGCAGACCTGATGTGGACTGTAGATATTCAGTGAGAAAGCGCTTAAAGTTGCTGCCAGATGTATTCCTCCTCCAGCAGTTTCACCATCATCACCGTTCGTACTCTCACACAACGGTCGTGTCGATGCCATAAGTGTCAGTGATGGCAGTTTAAGGAGGCAATCAGCTGCTGCTGTTCGCTGAAACTAGCGAACTCTTTTGCTGAATTATTTGAGCAAAGGAGTGAATGTAAAACAAAACAAAGATCCGAGAAGCTAAAAGTCATCCTCAATAATGTAAAAAGAACCATTGCTCACTGTAAAACTAATTGTTACAAAAAAAGTATGTTTTAAAAAAATTGGACTAGTAAGAATGATACATAAAAGAACAAAATGACGCGAACGAAAGCCACGGACATACTGAGTCGATCTACAAACTTGAGATTTAAAATCGGGATCGTACGTGTTACCTGCGGGTACGGGAAGGCTGAATTTGAATGGGCAAGGTTGAGCGTGGGCAGGGAGTCATCACCCTAAAATTTCAGCCTCCTAGACTCCGTGGTTCCCGAGATATTAATTAGCGCGATGGGAAAAAAAATTCGCAATCGATGGAAAAGCTACTGGCGGCTACGTAGCTGAACTACAGTGTAAATAAACAGCTGCCTGTTCAGGTATTCCAGCTCGAAGTAACTAATGTCGTAATTCGAGTTTTCTGATTTTTTGCCAAATTCTGCGCCCTTCTTACTCCTTCAAATAAATGATGAAATAATAACCTGCTGCTGCCCCTCAAAACGAATGGTTGAAGATTGCACAATCAAATGGAATAAAACATCCAGCGGGATTGCAGAAGTATCAATTTCAACGATTGGCACGTCCGAGTCGGCAGCATCTTCAGCATCATCTACTTTTGCCACCTTAAATTTTCATATTATTCAACCGTGACATACTATGCAATAAAATTTCGAGAACTTTTGAGAACGAATATTTGGTGAACGTGATTATTTCTGTAATAAAAGCGAGCCCATTCCCTCCTCCCCTCCCTCCTCCTCCATAGTTTACTCCTGCTTCATGAAATTTTTGATGGGATTTACTGTTATCATTTAAGACAACAACGTACATCAACTTACGTAATACATGACTGCTTCACAAGATCTATGAAACTCTGCTAAAGTTCATGTGGACCTATGAAACCCACAAAGATTTAAAGAGAATTTCTAATAAACTTGGTGAACAGTTCCGCATATCTACGTCATGTAGGATTTTGTTCGCTCCTAGACACTTGATTTGCAATTTCATTGCTTTTTCGTGCTCCAGCACCATACCGAACTTAAATCCCCGAAATATATCACTCTGTAAGAGCCAGATCTCGAGCAGCAGTACTTACCAGTTGTAATTTTAATTTTAGATGATGCGTATTTATGTAAAAAGTAAGGGTTAAAAAGAAAGGAATAAAAGGAAAATGAATAAGATAAATAACAACCACTTAGTGGGGAGGCTGTCAGTAGTTCTCTAATCTGCAGATTGCCTAGAAGCAAGCTGATGGCAAATTTCTGTGTTGAAGAAACAGAAAATGAAAGTGCATAAATGTGTGACATTTCAGAAAATTGTGTCAGTCGTTCATGTAACAGAAAATAAACGAACATTCACAGATGAGTTGACATAATTTTCTGGAATAGTTTCAAGCATTTGTTCGAAAAAATCAGCAAGTTGCGGAGTTATCAGTGATTCTTGTGGCATACTCGCCAATTCGATTACAAGGTAAAAAACTGGTCGACGTCGCTGACTGAAACGAATTCAACCAAAAGTTATGAGGGGAAAAAATTTAACAGAAAAGTCTTAGATCTCAGGCAAAAAGCAATTCTTCGGATGCATTCCACAATTTCGGACCTCTTTTGCCGTTACCAAAAAATTCAGTATTTGTATAAATTTTAAAATCAAAAGAAAAAATTCCAAAAACAGCAACATCTTCAGAAATTTTACGAAAG